ATGTTCCTGATGGAGTCACCTGGAACCACACCAAAGAGGGTGTTTACACAGTAACAGTGCCTACAAGAGAAGGGTGCAGAATTGAGAGGTGTTACACAATATCACTGGAATAGCATATGGAAAAAATTGATCCCTACCAAGGTGAAATGCTTCACTTGGCTAGTTATTAGGAGAGCATGTCTCACTCAAGAAGTGCTGCAAAAGAAAGGAAGGCCACTAGTTCCCAGGTGTACTTTGTGTAACTTGACAGGAGAAACAAATAGTCATTTATTCTTACATTGCAAGTACACTTCTTAACTATGGGAACTCTTCCTAAACATTTCTGGCCAAAGCTGGTCCATGCCAGAACACACTTCTCACCTCCTAAGCTGCTGGATTAGAAAAGGGGGCAACAAAACTCAAAAAAGATGGTGGAAACTGATTCCTTCATGTATTTGGTGGTCAGTCTGGACAGAAAGGAATGGTAGATGTTTTAAAGATAAATCCAGTTCCATTCACAAAGTCCAATGGAATTGTTTAGTATCTTTACTATTTTGGTGTAAACAATTATGTATAGATGATGAAGATCAAATCATAGAACTGATAGGAAGCTTGTAAATTTTGTATGGGTTATGGTTGTAACCCTTTTTTTATGGTGACCAGCATTTCCTTAATGCTGAAGAATACTACTTACCAATTGTCAAAAAAAAAAAACTTTCTATAGCAAAGAATCTCGTCTTAATGGTTTGTCTCTCCATTTAATTTCATGACATGAATTAAAAGCCAAAATACTGAGATAGCCCCTTGAACTTGACAAAAACTTTCTTTTAGATGAGAGCGACCTGCGGAACACCTGAAGTACGTGCAAATTGTGCCTATTGAAGACAACAGTAAGGGATTGTTTGGTATAAAGGATAAAGAGAGTTAATCCCGGAAAATTTTTGAGTAACATTTAATTCTTTGTTTGGTTACAAAGTTTAGAATAACTTATCTCAGGGTTTATAATTAGTATCGGGATAAGTTATCCCAACCTTTGGGTGGAATAGTAATTCCGAGATAAAATAGATAAAATGACAAAGATATCTCTTTAAATAATTTTTATACATCACATTTCACATTCATGTATTTTCACATTATTTTTAATACCATGTATAATAACATTCACAACCTTCACCACTTCTTATTTTCATGATAATTCTTTATATTTTTCTATTAAAAAATTACACTATATAAATATAATTTTTATTTATGAATTTATTTGACTAATTCTAATGTTTATTTATATTTTGATTTCTCTACAATTGAATTACATTACATATATTTAATTGTATATTTTTTTAGTCACTTGAAAGCTTGTATGTTATATATCAATTAAAATGAAGATAACTTTAATATGTTACAATTTAAGAGAGATATGTGCTTTAAATGAAGTGATACAAATAATAAATTTTCATTTACTTTAACAAGCATAAGATGGAAGTTCTATTTTTAGCCTAAATAAGAAGAAAATTTTTATTTTAAAATACACTTGATATCATCATGGGAATGCACACACAAAAATATTCAAGTTAAATAAGATGAATATTTTATCTTTAAGAATGAATAACTAAAGCTTGCAAAGATGATATAAAAAAACTAAATAAAATGAAGGTTATTTTTGTAAACAAACAACTTGTTCTTAAAATCACCAAATATGGGTGACATTGCCTCGTGTTTTTCTGAAAATGAGTTAGACGCCGAGATTCAGAAACTAAACTCTATACCCGATACTACAATACTTCCTTTTTGTTGAAGATACCACCCAAAAATAGTGAACTTACAGCAACTAATCTGGCTTGATGCCTGTTAATTGTAAATTGTCTAGCTAGACTCCGCCAGAGACAGCAAAGCTTCAAAACTTGAAAACCTTTTCCTGCAAGTCAATACGTTTTCTAGGTCTATGATGCTGAAGCTGGGTAATCCAGTTGAAGTCTATCGATTTCTGGTATAACAAGCTCTTTGGTTAAGTACCGGCCATTTACATAGGTTAAGAATGTCACTCTTTGAAGAAGGGTTCTGGTATTTCCTTTATGTGTTTGTGATAAAATTGTAAATATGTCATGTGTGTTACTAAGTTGCATGTCAGTGCCTCATTTTCTGAAATTAATGTGAGTGAAAGATAGTCAGAAGATGAAGAGAACAAAGAATGAAGAGGAAAGCCATGTCAGCAGATTAGGGTTTTGGTGAACCAAACTTTAGTTGAAGTATTAAGCCCCTTTTCACTCTGTTGCTCGGATACAGGTGCGGCACCCAACAGTACGGATCTAGAAGTCAGATTTGTCATCACCTAAATCCTAGGATTCAAGGATAGGAATAGGAGCACAGGTACAGGTGTCAAGACACAACCAATATGGTATATTATGACATATATAAGAATATATTTTGACAACTATTTGAAGCTATTAAAATAATATATTTCAAATTTTCTGTTTTTCCAACTTCACTTCAAATAGTATTTTTTTCATGAGATCTCAACCAAACAGCACAGTCGAAATGAAAGTGAAATACTAAATGAAACTTTGGAAGAATGGGCCACCATGTTATAAACCGTACTCGTATTTTTCTAATTCAATTTGTAACTTGTGAAACTCTAGAGTCAATTTGAAAAAAGGAATCTGGATGAAACTACTATGCTATCGTTTCACCACAAATTCCCAAAAAAAATTGGCAAATCATTTTTGGGAGAAGTTTTTTGTTTGGCCATGAATACAAATTGGAGTTTTTTTTTTTTTTTTTACTTTTTTTGAGTAATTTGGAGTGAGAAAAGTGAGCACCTTTTTGTTATTTTCAAATTTTTGAATATTCTAGAATTCAAATTCAGTTGAACTCTGGAATTTTATGGCCAAACGTGTTTTCCAGAGTTCAACCCTGATAAAAGTGAAAATTTCATATGATTGTTTGGTTTGAAGACAAGTTATGTTGAGAGTAGTTATGTTGGGATAAGTTATTTAGGATTAGTTATGCTAGGATTATTTCTTATTGACTATTTGGTTTGTTATATTCAAAATAATATGCATTACATAATTTCTAAGAATAAATTATTTGTTTTCAAAAATAGCCTCCACCTTATTTAGTTTTTTATATTTTCTTTGCAAGCTTTAGTAATTTATTCTTAAGAATAAATCTTCCATCTTATTTAACTTAAATATTTTTGTGTGTACATTTCCATGATTGTACCGTATGTGTTTAAAAATAAAGCTTCCGTCTAATTTATTTTTTATGAAATAACAAACTTCCATATTATTTAGCTTAAAATAAAATTTTCATCTTAAGCTTATTAAAGTAAAAGATGATTTATTATTTATGTCACCTCATTTAAGCACATATCACTCTTAAACTGTAAAATATTAAAGTTAACTTCATTTTTATTGATTTATAAAATACAAACTTTCAAGTGACTAAAGGAATATTTAGTTAAAAACATGTAATCAGTGGTATAGAAATCAAAATATAGATAAACATAAAAATTAGTTAAATAAATTCAGCGTATAATATATTCATAAGAATTATATTTATATAGTGATTTTTAATGGAAAAATATGAAGAATTGTCATAAAAATAATGAGTAGTGAAGGTTGTGAATGTTATTAACATCATATTAAAAATGATGTGAATATACATGGATATGAAAACTGAAAAGTGATATATAAAAAGGATTTAAGGGGATACTTTTATCATTTTACCTATTTTATCTCGGGATAAGTTATCCCGATATTACTATTCCACCCAAAGATGGGTATAACTTATCCTAGTACCAATTACTAATCCTGGAATGGAGTTATCCCAAACTTTGTAACCAAATAAGGGATTATAAAGAGTACTCAACAATTATCCCAGTATTAAGTTCCCTTATACATCACACCAAACGACCCCTTAGTATTCTATTCATAAAATAGTTCATATAAAAACTAAGTGTTTTAGTAAATATCCGAATATATATAGGACATAAGCAAAACAAATACCTAATCAACATATACTTCTTGGCCATAGATGTCGTCAAAGCACCCAAGATACATTTGATCAAATCAAGTGTCGATCCCACATACACAACCAAATTGTGTAGGATTGACATGGTTGCGTGGATTTTAAAATATCTCATCAACATAGCCTCGGATTGTGATTCAGAGATCGCGAATTAATTGGTACTCATTTCGAAGTTCACTAGTTGTAGGTATCACAAGACTGTGAAACATAGATAGACAACTAAGGATTCGTAATAATTGAAGCTTCCCTTGCTCATCCAGCCACTCCTTGTTCCTTCCCCTTCCCGGCCCAAAAACCCCTCAAAAGAAAAAATATTGAGCCGAGAGTCTTTAAGAAACAACCCCTATACCTCCACAAGGTAGTGATAAGCTCTGCGTACACTCTACCCTCCCCCCACTTAGTGGGATTTTACTGGGTATGTTGTTGTTGTAATTTGCATATATTATCAGACTTGTGGAAACAACAGTCCTTTGACTTCTCTGCAATTTTTTACTTGAATATATAAGGGAGTTAATTGCTTCTTATTTCGACAATGACTCGTCTCAAAAAGTGTCACATAAGGCATAGTGCAAAGACAGAGAGAATGCTTTGACAATCCATCAAAAACTCTATATTTTGGAAATCATGGAAGGGAAGGACCAAAGCTACGTCGAGGGAGTTCCAGCTACCATTTCTTCCATGAAGGCTAGTTTCTTAGTGAATCTGTTTGGCTGGAGCAATCATTGTAATGGAAATAATGTTAATCAGTTTTGGAAATTTGTTGGCTCTATATTTATATATGAATCAATGTTACTTTCTAACATGTAGCATCCACTGGATGCAACAGAGCAACAAATTGTTTGTTGCCTGATATAGAAAATGTATCACAAAACGCAAAAGAGATCCTACCAAGTCATGACATGAGGGGGTGAATTTGCTAAAAGAGAAGCTGACTGTAGAATATTTAAAGATGAAAAGCACATCATTAAAAAGACTTTTAGGGTAAGAGAAAAACTTACTTAAAATTCATAATTGGGAGTTTCCATAGTCTAAGCCTTGTGCAAAAGAACCTTCATACATGAACTGTCAATTTCCACAAGAAATATTAGGTGTCTTATTAGATAATATCCACGTAACTTAATTTTTCAAGGTCAAAAGAACTACTAAATGGTGAAGCAAACGAGCCAAAGAAAGAACATAATAAAATGCAACCACCTTACCTGCGTATTGGACCCAAGCTGACTTCCAACTAAATCTTTTCTAACAGATGCATCACCAACCCTTGCAGATCCCTTGGCATCTCCCTGATATTAGTTTCAAATCACAATACATTTTTAATGAAAAATCAGAGTTAAGAAAATAAGTAAATCTATCTCAGTGATGTGGAGAACTATGTGTACCTCCATCTACAACACCATTGATTGACCCATGCAACCCAGCAGAGAAAGTTGTTCAGGAACCACAGAAACAACATTTACTTAGTTGATTATGAGATAAAATTCAGTTGAACGAAGTCTTGAAACAACAATAGTAAAGTCCATAACCAAAAATACACAGTGCAACATTTAGAAGATGGCAATTGGCAAATGCAATAGTCCATATATTCTTTTATCAATTTCCTCGCAAACCAAATGATGAGGAAGCCTAATAGAACATAAAATAAAGAAAATAAAGCAGTTATTATGAGAAACCAGTCCCAAAACCATTAAGGGCATGAAGAAGAATTGCATTTACCTCTCTGTACCGAGTCAAATAGACCTTCAGTGGTTCAATGTAGTCCTCAAATCCCAAGGTAGCCAGGGCTGATAGTAAATCATCTCCGTTGATCGTCTTTCTCTTCTCTTTCTGACACTTGTCACTCGCTCTATAAAATAAAAGAGAACTCATTTGAAAAACATGCAGAGAGAGTGGTTGTTACTTCCACGTGTCATCATTCTACTAAATCTCAGTATGTAAATGTATGGAAGTCCACCCTCTAACAACAAACATTTGAAAATGTAACACATGTCTTCTACTTCTACACAAGTACCCACACATATATTTGGACTCTAACTTCCCAAGCATTAAATACTGGCAACGTCTTTCCATATATTTATATAAAGACTCTATCTAGATCAAATATACGACTTTTATTGAAATTGGTAAAACAACATCTAATGTAAACTTGTATGATCCAGAAAAAAAATAGCACTAAAAAAACACCATCCATAAGATCTTAGCTACATAGATACTTTTTAAGAAAGGTAAATATCATGTTCAAAATGACATCGTGTATGAGCTACGAGACCTAACAGTAAAAGGAAAATATTGGATCTCCCAAATTCTGACACATATATACACACACACACACACACACACACACGACTTTGAACTCAGACTAGTGGAAAGCTAGCATGCCATAGTTTTGATAGAATGACATAATTGGGACATGTAACCTTATCAAAGAAAGGTAAAATAGGAAAGAGGACTTGTATTTTTAGCGAAGGGACTGCAGTGTGAACATCTAAACAGGGATAAATAACTCAGTATGGCATGAATCATGATCACTTGAATAACAATGCACAGAGCAACTAAGCATGATCACAGGCAGAAGTGCAGCTGTGGATTACCTTCTACTATTGGGGATATTTTCCTACGAAAAACAAAGAACTAAGGGTTTGCTTGACAATAGCTTCTTTTTTTTAAACTCACTAGCCGAAAAGCAAAAGCAGCTATTCATTTTTTGGGTCAACTATAATCCATTCTAAAAAATGTCACAAGTACAAACAATAAAGTCACTGACAATGCTTTGTATTCCAAATTTTCTTAGTGAGCATGGAGTCTATTGTCACACACACCGGGTCGTTCTTTTTTATGGATTTGTCATAGAGAGTGGTTGATAACATGCTGCCATGCCCACCTTTTTCCATTTTATTTTTGCATTCCTCCCTCCCTACTTCTCATAGCTCCATGTACTACTATTCTTGTCCTCCCCTTTTTTCATGTTTCTCTCAAGGGCTTCATTAAAATGGCAGGTAACTCTACCCTACCTATCTTATTGTCAAGTCCTCTTTTCCCGTAATATTTCCATTTAAATAAGATGACTTACTCCATATTAAGGACACCATGCATTTATGATTCCCTTGTCTACTAATTGTCAACACATCTTTCACTGCGTTCTTTTTCCCCATACGGAGCAGAAGGTGACAACATGTCTGTGATTCTCCTGCCTCGTAAATGCCATGACCAATTCGCTTGATATTGCTAATCATTGAGGAGATGGCAGGCAGGAACAGTGAAAAGGGATTAAACAAAGGAATGACAGCAGCCAAGGAAGAGTGGAATGAATTCTCCAGTGGGGAGCTTTGGTTGTCATGTACTTCATGGAAGAGTCATAACCAGATATCATTAAGTAAGCTATTACCTTCCCTCCTTTGTTAATTGCTATGGAAAGAACACCAACCAGACATCCTATTGATGTTAGGAGAAATCTTTCTAAAGGCTATCTTTGTCATGTATACAAAATTTGGGAAAGAAAACACGAGAAACACCACAAAAATTGTAACTCTTAGAGACTTGAGCTAAAAAGGTATACGAAGTAGTTATCCATCTCCATACACATAATACACAAAACAAAAATAAAATAGAAACTCTAAAATGGAACCATCTGTGCCTACAAGGAATTCCAATAAAATTTCTTGAAATGATAAATTACCAAAATTATAAACATCTAAGCATAGAGTTTAAAACTTCGAAAGTTACCCAGTCCAATGCCACAAAACCTCAGTTGACATAGCGATCTTTAAGAATTAGTATAAACTTACTATAAAAACCACATTCCTCCATTTCAGGATGTACAATTGAACACTGAATACAGGTAAATTACACATTTCTATAATTCACGGAAGCAATACAGACAAAATAGAAACTCTAAAATGGAGCCATATGTGCCTAAAAAGGAATTCCAACAAAATTTATTGAAATGATAAATTACCAAGATTAAAAACATCTTAACATATATTTAAAACTTCAAAACTTACCCACTACAATGCCACAAAACCTCAGTTGACATAGCGATCTTTATGATTTAGTATGAACTTACTATAAAATTCGCATTACTGCATTTCAGGATATAGAATTGAACAGTGAAGAAGAAATAGAAGCTTACTCGCTAGTAATAAAACTGATGAACTCAGATACACATTCCTGAACAGTGTCCTTAGAATCCTTTGCGATCTTTCCATTAGCAGGCAATGCCTTTTTCATTATGCGTCCAATATTAGCGATCGGTAGGTACCTATCCTGCTCTCGCAAGTTGGACTGAGGACTCGGGTCACCGCCACTCTCATGGCTTCCGCCGCCGCCTCCTGGACTTGCCGGCTCCGCCATTCTCAGTGTACCGGAACCCTAACTTTATGGATGATCGTAGGTAGAGGTTGATCCAAGAGAATATTTTGTTAGTTTTTGTTTGAGAAAGGAATTTGGCGGAAAATGGATGCTGAGCTTTTCTGCGCTATACACATAGATCCAACGGCAGCGACTGCCAGAGGAAGAACCTATTTTTACGCACAAGGCCTACACCCTTTTTTTCCTTTTAAATATACACGTAATATATAAACTTGTCCTTTAATTTAGCATATTTAGGCCCTTCAATTTTAGATATGAATAATTAAGTAATTATATTTGTATAAAGTTAAATAAATAGATTCATGCTTCCTAATGCACATAAAATGTCACATGGGATGTAAATTGTTGTCACATAGTATGTCAAGTAGGACACATGTATATATTTGTTCAATTCTATATAAGTTTTAAGGACATAAATACTAAATGAGATACAAAATCAAATGACATATTTATATATTATGTCTTTTAAATACACTCAAGTACTTTTATAAATAAAGTTCTTTAACATGCTTTAATTCATTTACGCTTTAAATTTATTACTCCATAGATAATTGATATTCTAACTGTAACGATATCATCGGTATATATTTTTTTCCACCTGGTATCTAATACCTATGTTAAATTTGACTAAATCCAAATTCGTATCATAAAAATTTATTGAGAATATGGCGCTGCCTAAACATGATAGTACATGAGATTTAGAACTTCGTTTTTTCTTTTTTTGGGTTGTTGTTATTGAAGTGGTACAAATGTAAACAAAACAAAAAAAAATTGTAGAAGAAAAACTCCCATGTATTTATTTATTGTCGTATTTTACTAAACATATTTTATCGTAGTGATTTGATTCTAATTATTAATTATTTCATTTTTTCAGTGAAATAGAAACAAAAGAATATCATAAAAGTATATTGAGAAGATGTTATAACAAATTCCGATTAGATGGGGAAGTAAATAGGCTTTACATTTTTATCTGTTGTAAAATTGTAACAACTATACAACAACAAATAATAATATGATTCAATTGCAGAAAAGCATTAAACAGGAGTTAGATATTTATTAAGGAAATAAAAACAAAGGCTAAAGTACAACTATATCAATATGTCTTCTGACCTAGTACTTGAATACAAAACATATTCATTCATGATTAATAAAATCCCTAAAAAAAATTATTTTCCTGTTTTTAATCTTTTAATTTGTAAAGTTTCCTCCATAGTTAGTAGGCATTGTTTTTAGTATTAAGATCTTGTATCTCCAAATCACCTTTCTCACAAGTATTGGGTTCACATAAATTCGGTAATAAAACCCAAAATATTTGTGACGAAAGTCAAATCGTTGAAGTTATATATCGGATTATATTAATTTAATATCTTAAAATTAAAATTTACATATTTAAAAATTTATGAATAGTACTACAATTTATGATTCTTTTCATTTAAACATGATTTTTTCAAAAAAAAAAAATACATATTAAATATTGATCAAAATTCATATAATTTAATTCTTAAAAAGTAAATGTGACAAGTATTTCGAGACGGAAATTAAGAGAGTAACTCTTATATTTTATAATTGTTTTTTTAATTTTAAATGTAAGATACATAAAAGTATTGGAAGTATTCCTATTCCAGAAAAAGTTAAAAAATTGGGTCAGTAGAGAGGAACGACATTGATTACTCTCTCTTTTTTTATTCTCATAAAAGAACAAATATCTAAATACACAATTTATTTTATCATATTTTCAAAAGATTTTTATCATTTTAAAAAATACAATAATTCATACTCTATCCTATTCTCGAATACATCACTTTACGTGATGTATCATAACATTGAGTGGTGTATCTAAAAGTGAATCGCGATGTATTGGTACGTTGAGTGATGTATCTGAAACTGAGACGCGATATATCAAAATGTTGAAGGATGTATTCAAAATCAGTACGCGATGTATCATGATGTATCCAAATTTAAGAATTTTTTTTAATTTGAAAAAAAAGTAAGAATAGCACTATGTGCTCGTGTAAAATTCTCTGATGATAATGGTCGATTCTAATGAATAGGTTATGAAGTAACCTTTTAGAGATAGCCGTTTGCAAAAAGATCAAGAAATTTGAAAAGGCAATTTTCTTCTATTTGTTTGCTTAGTGACCAAGAGATCTTGATTCCTCTTTACTAGTCAGTTGATTAATAAAAAGATGGTTTCAGAATACGTTGGATTTACAATGTCACTAGATATCATCAGAAATGTGATGTAATAATCTATGAATGCTCTGCAGCTGCAATGTACATATGAATTACCAGATTATTAACTAGTTTTACTTGGACAGGCTTGTTTTTATCAAAGTAAACAACTGTTATTGAACTATCACTTTTATTTGAGTTAATTACAGTTCTCCTTATAATTGAATGGTTCAACACAAAGTTAATTGTACACCAGAATAAATGTAACAGGGGTGTGCGAAGGGAAGACATCGCTGGTGTTTTTAAGATACGACCTTTTCAATCAATCGTACCACAATAATAAGAGGGAAAGATCTACCGGTAATCAAATAGAGAAACTGGATACCCTTCCATGCTTGCCATTTCCATGACCGCCTTCTGCAGATAAAACAACAATGAGTCTTTGTTCGCTACTTGTGCAATACAAGAGGCTTCACAATTTTGTAATTGTTCCACTACTTGAGCATAAGTGACAAACATAGTGCATGTAGACCAATGATTAAAGTCTATAAAAGGAAAGAGTACACATCAGATCAACTAAAAGGAAGGCCAACAGCGTCATACTCTTGAGGGGGTTTTGTCATGTCAATTTTCATAGGTAATTTCTGCTTGTATCCAGACAGCAAGAGCTCAACGCAGTGGGAAATGAGAGTCAAAGAGATAGGAGATATCTGATTCAGGTAATAGCGTCTTCTTTTACAATGAAACTACTTTTTTAATGCTTCTACAAGCACACCATAACAGGATTTCTCAAAATGGAGACTCCATATAAATATAACTGTTTCTTTATGAAGATAAATATATACTGTTTCTGATCACATACGTGTTTACCCTTTTCAGACTATTTTAGTGTACACGATTATGCACTTGATTTCTGTATCTGGTTGGGGGAAGCGGGATGAATACTCAATCTCATAACTTAAGTAATCATTAATAATGTAAGGGTGGACAAATGTACGTTAAAAATGGTACAGAATCAAACAAGTAATCTCTATTAAATGACATAAAGATTAACAAGGAAATCTCTTTTATTACCTGGATGAATGCAGTGATCCGTCCAGGAGCATTCTGAAATTTACACAAACATCAGTAAGGGGATTATTCAATGAGCAGCTTCAAAACTTCTTTTATTTATCAAGTTGTTAGTGCATGGATTTGTCATACCTCAAATCGCTTCTCCTCCCAAGTTACATCAGTCCAAGTTTGTGTATCAAGTGATTCCCATGAACTAGGAGCTTGAATAACTTCCACATGCTGCAATAGCCTCAAGCTACCTGCAATAATAGTTCAAAGAAGTATGCTAACAGTAAAAATAAATCCTCCTACTGTATATAGGAACACAAATTCATGATGGCACATAAACAGTCTTCGGTGTAAAGGGTCAAATATATCCCTATACTATAGGAAATAGTTTATATATGCCTTTCGTTATACTTTTGGGCCAAATATACCCCTCCCGTTATACTTTGGGCCAAATATACCCCTGATTTTAACGGAAGGACACTTGTCAACATAGGAATCAAATAACCCACCCCCAATTTTAAATACCCAATTCCCTTTAGAAACCCACCCATTTAACCTATTCCCAACCCGTTTTCATAGTCATCTTCTCCACTTGAGATTTTCATTAAAATCAACACTTAATCACTACGGAAACTTCAAGACCACAATGTGGCGGGTCATTTTTTTCACCAAAAATATTTCTTGCAGAACCTCCTGCCTTTGAAGTTATTCCATCTCTTAAAAGATTAAAATAGTTGATAATTGTTGCAAGTTAGAATTCAAAATTTTAAGTTTGATTTAGCATGTACTTAACATATTGGGCAACATGAGAAACTGAACTTAAATGTGTTATGATGTTTAATTGGAATTGTTGTTTGTTTTCATCGGTGTTCAACGGACCAACAATTTAGTAGCATTAGAAAATTAGGGCAACAAAGATTAAGGCATGCTTGTGGATGGATTTTATCATCACAACGAGCAAGAAATATGTTAGTGACAAAACTGTGTGCTGGACCTTTCATAGTTGAGTATTGATTTTAATGGAAGCTTTAGCTAGAGAAGATGATTATGAAATGGGTTTGGTTCAAATTGGGTATTTAAATGGGTGGGTTTCTAAAGGGAATTGGGTATTTAAAATTGGAGGTGGGTTATTTGATTCCTATGTTGACAAGTGTCCTTCAATTAAAATTAGGGGTATATTTGGCCCAAAGTATAACGGGAGGGGTATATTTGGTCCAAAAGTATAACGAAGGGAAAATATAAACTATTTCCTATAGTACAGGGGTATATTTGACCCTTTTCCGAACAGGCTTCTACTACCCTTCCCTTCTAAACTGTCAGCAATATATACATAATGGAACGTTGAGCACACTTTTCACTTTTGAACTGAGTACAACCTTATATTACACATAACAAGCATGAAGTTGAACTGGAAAACTGATAGGCAATAGGTTTAAGTATCAGGACCACAGCTCAAATATGTATACTAGAAATTCAGTCTCCACTTGACCAGGTAAAGGGAAATAGCTTTGGAGCACCCGGCGGAGAATAAAGCAAGCTTTGAGTATATAATGCTGAAGAAATGATAATTATTCGAACTTACGACTGAGCCACATACTTGTAATGAATGCTTCTGACCACATTTCACGCTCTGACCATGAAGGTGCAATTTCTCTGACTGGGATTTTGTTTCTTGAGCATATGCTGGACAAAACACATGATCATCATGGTCATTATTTAACAAAGTACAATTTTAATGAGATCTGGAATAACCTTTTTTTTAAAAAGCAAGCAGCTTCTAGCAGACAGGTCACTAATGTTTTTTACTTGACAGATTACTTAAAACTAATAGAAACAACATGATTTAATCCTTTCAACTCTAAAGTTCCATATTTCTCATTTCTTCAATAAACCACAGAGCCTCAATAGCTTCATATTTTCCTTGCGGTTCAAATATGGGCATCAGGCACAAGGACAAATGCCAGAGTCCAGACCATTCTATATAGCACTCCTTTGGGAACATATATGATGACGTGCAGATAAAAGTTCTCAACGCCAAAGGAAATTACTAATTAATGAGTTATTATTAATTAACTTACCTCCAATTATTATATAAAGATATTTTTGTACAAGATCTGCTTCAATAAGACTCTCTACCAGTAAAGGAAATTCTTTATGGTACAGTATGTAATATGTGCAGAATACATAGGATTAGGGCAACAGAGAATGTTCTAGAATGAATCTGTGCCAACCATACCAAACATTAGGCATAACCAAGTCAACACAACAGTTACCCCTTCCAAGTTGACCAGCATTTATTACATTCTACAGATGAATAAGTTGCTGCAAAATGCGAGACAAAGTTCCAAACAGGAACCTTAAGTTCTAACTTAATATGTCAAGTTCCGAAGGCTAGAGAAGGAACGCACTCAAGAATTACTTGGCGTACAACGCCTGGAAGGACACCATCTCTTATAGGGGCAGTCTGCAATTCAATTGAAACTGTAGATTCATTGTCTCTTTGGCTAGACTTGTGATAATCACCATTAACATCCTGCAACAAAAAATTTAGTAATTTCTGTAAGATAAAACATGATAGACTTTGTATAAGTTACACTATTCACATACAGTTAAAGCAAAATGATAAAACTTTAGGTGTGTTTGGTATGGAGAGATAATTTCCAATTTGCTCATGTTTGGTTGATCGAAATTTTTCTCTAGGAAAAACAAGTTCCTTAAAAATGAGGAAAATAATTTCCCTAATGCAAGTAGGGAAAACAAGTTCCATTAGTGGAGTTTGTCTCCTACCCACCCCCCAGCAGCCCCCAACCCCCACCCCTTGACCATCCTACCCTACGCCATCCCCAAACTCCCACTCCATCCCACCCCCATAGTATTTTTCTAAATAACACATAAATGCTCTTTGTCAATATGTTTTTTTTTACATAAGCTTTTCACATGATGTTAAGAGTGTCCTGCATTCACTTTGTGAAGGAGCAGACAGAATGTCGTCACTAAGGATTACCTTATCCTCCGCAAAAATAATACTAATTGCACTACTTGGATAGCTTGGTTAGTAATTGCTGTAACTCCTGCTAGATAGAAGTTGATATGCCTTTAGTGTAGATGTTGAGTCCATTTTAAAGCAAAGCTTAACACTTTTTTCCCTTGAACTGCAAAAGAGCTTCTTCTATTATTTTTTGACATCAGCACTATGATGGTGTTGTATCATGTACAACCAACAAGCAAAAGTACAGCTCCTTCCTTCTAAGTGAGGAAGGAACCTACAAAATCAATCAGTGGTGATTCAGCCTCGTGTACATATTACTCCCTACACCAAATAGATAGGAGAAGTATATAACTAGTCTTGACCTTCAGCAAGGAGTTGGTACATCTTCAAAAGCACCTCAGATTTCTTTCTTTCCAGATAGACCACTAAATGCATGCAGGGATTGTGTTCCATATTTTCTTCAAGCTTTACTCGAACTTTTATAACCCCCGTGATTTTTTTTCTATAGCCCCGATAACCTTAAAATTCAGGAGTAGTTTGGCATCGTCCAAGTCATTCCAGTGTGCTCAGAAGTAAAGCTTACCACTTTTTTATCAGTAAAATGTAAGCTTTATTAATTGTTACTTTATCAAAAAGAACTTTTATTATTGTTAGGAGACTAGCAATAAGATGGAGCTTGCCTAAACTAAATTTCAATATACAGTCAATAACCTTCCCGTAATTGACAATTAAAATTTGTCAAGCTATGTTCATCTTGTACAACTAGAAGAAAAGCCCATCACTATAGATCTTTTCTTCTCATAGAAAGGTTTCAATCTAATCACTAAATTCGCTGATGAATTATTAATGTATGGCTCAAAGATGCCACAAAGTCAGGTTGCATAATTACAACAGTGAGTACTCTAAATCTAGTGTAAAATTCAGATTTTACAATTCCCCACCAACAGAAACAATGGCTGTCTTAAAAAAAACAACTGTTCCCTTCAACAAATGAAATCTCTAATTAAAACAACTACAACTATACATTCTTAAGCTCAATTAGCTGAAACTCAACTTCCAGAAAAACCATCAATGAACTAATAAATTGGTACACCTTTAACAAGATCAAATAAGATCTCAGTACCAGTTGTTATCAACAAAATCAATTAAACAAAAATGGTTTGGTCATCTGAAATTTAGCCATGATAAAAGATTATATAGAATAAGAAAAAACTCCAACTCTTCTTAGTTCAACACAAAACTTTTAACAAAAATAGGACTAGGTCGACCTAATAACAATTTTGTAATGACATTCACCTTGTGGCAAACGACAAAAAGATTTGTCAAACAACCCTCTAAGATCTGATCGCCATTGTTTGACAACAGGAGCTCATTGACATAAGGTGGCCTCAGCTTCTCCAATTGTTTCCTTTGCCTACCTATAACAAAAACAACAAATTTCCATTACCAAAAAAGATTGTGTCAACAAAGTTCATCTCTTCCCTATATCTTCAAATCAGATACTAAAGCGAAATCACCATTTTTTTCTCCTTTTTTACCGCTCCAAAGGAGTTCCCACACTTTTTTCTCTCTTGGTGACTCAAACTCACAACCTTAGGGTTGGAACTGAGGGGTGCTTACCATCCGAGCAACTCCCTCTTGTCAAGCGAAATCACCATCCATTAGTATCAACGGGAAACTCCATGAGTATATCACGGTTAAAAGGAAAGCAACCAGTTGTTCATGCATAATTACCTAACCCAATCTGAGTATTTGGCATTTGCTACGCCCCTACCACGACCTACAACTGCCAAACGTGCTCTATTTTGGTGGATACCAAAGAGTGGAGGAACATAGGAACCAACATGGACATAAACATCAAAAGCTGTAGAAAATTTTTCCTCAAGTTCCTCCAAACTATCAACATTTCCACTGACAAGACATGTAATGGCCAATTCCTCCCCACTTCTTCTTTTGTCCAATACAAGGGGCAGAGCTTTTCTCATTGAATCATCCACAAGAGATTGAACCAATGAATCCCACATGGTTGGTTTTGTTGAAACAAAGGAAAAAGGGACTCTACATGCTTCTGAATTGAATAAAAGTTCTGGGTTAGAGTTCAAGAGAATTCTTAGAGAATTAGAGAGTCTGTTCATATGCCTTTCCCAAAACAACAACAGTGAACCATCACTGTGAGTTCTAGTTGTTGTATATGCACCTGAAATGGAAAAAAATTATACCTTTAAGCTTCTACCATTTATTTCTTCAAAAAGCCTATTTGTTACAACAACAAAAGAATTCAAAAGAAGGTAAAATACCTTGGTGGGCTTCAAGTAAGGTTGTTACCGATGGGTTTTCTGCCAAATTCGGAATCAAGCCATTTTTTAACAGAAATCTGCAGTTGCTGCTAGTCATCGTCGCCTGAAACAAGAAGCTGAATAACCTATTTCCAAAGGCATGAAATTTGCGATGTATTTAAGTTATTTTGGTTTGAGAAAAGACTTCATTATTTATTTATCTAGAAAAGGTCCTAAAATGAGAATTGGTACAAAATTATCGAACTTCTATCTCTCAGGACTAAAATGTCATTGACGTCAATTGTTTGGCTCTATTTTGCTCTCATCTTTAACAACCCAAATTCATTAATGACGTGTCACTATTTTATTAGTTACGGGTTAAAAATACCCCTCAATTTTGATTTATTGTTTGACTTTACTCTCGCTGTTAAAACGAAGTTAAATTTACCCCTTCTGTTACTAATTTTACTAAAATTACCCCTCATTAGACGGAATCCCCAAAATTGACCCAATTACCCGAATTTAAAAAAAAACCTATTCTTTATTTTTAACCCAATGACCCGACCCCTCTAAGATAACCCGGTTAACCCAATTAACCCAATGCCCTATTACCCATTTCGATTAAATGTTCAGGAATGCCTCGACATTTACCGTAGAAATGTAGATAAAGAGAGAAAATACAAAGCTGAGCTGCATCTGTCATTAGCTGAGGCTGATGCAGAAAATTCCAAACTTGTATATGTCCTTGCAGAACAAGTTTCTTTGCCATTGGTTTGTCCAATGTTTCTTTGGAATCCTTAAACTTCTTCATCATTCAGTTTTTTTTTTAAAAAAAAATAATTAACTCTTTACTTATTTTCCAGTCGGGAAAGATGAAAGGTACCCGGAAGCAGAAATTGGCTGTTACTATCCTGTGTTAAAAGACATAAGGACAGTAGTTATGTCACTTGATTTCAAGAATATAATAGCTAATATCAATCCAAGCTCGGCGAATCATTTGAATGTACAATTAAAGAGCATAAGCAATGAAACACTTGCTAGCTTGACAAGTGAAGTTAATTGCGAACATGGAGAAATGGAAACAATAACACATCGTTTACTAACAGCTCCCATAGCTCAAAGATTATGGAAGCAGTTTGCTTCATGTGCAGGGTTAAAGAATGCATCTACAACAAATCATTACAGCATGGTGGGAACACAAGGCCTCACACAAGTTAACACAAATATTGAAAGCAATTCCAGCTATCATAATGTGGGCACTTTGGAAAAGGAGGAATACTAGAAGACATGGAAAAGATCACTCTTTTAACTGGATGAATCATCAGTGTCAGGAGACAATACATCAGTTGATTAGAGTGAAGTTCCCTTGGCTCAAAAAGGTTCCATATCAATGGATGGAAATTGTGGACATGTTGCAGAGATACAAACTTACTCTTCACTATCATATAGTGAACTGGAAACTACCGGAGGAAGGATGGATTAAATGCAACACAGATGGTGCTAGTAAAGGTAACCCAGGACAGAGTGCATACGAATTTTGTATGAGAAACAACAATGGAGATCTAGTGTATGCTGAAGGAGAAGGCATAGGGGTGGCTACCAATTTGAAAGAAAGATTTTCTTTTGTATGATTTATTTCGAATCTCATAAAAATAATGAAACAAATATGAAGAAAGAAAATAAATAATTTTACACATAAAAATAGCAAGCCGATATTCGTTTGTCACCATTTTCGAACAAATGACTACTCAAATTAAAATATAAACCCACTAAATTTATCAAAATTGATATCCAAAAAGTTGATAAAATTAATTTATGAGTAATCAATTTCTTTTTATCATCGATGTAGAAGGGAATAACCGCCGATAAAATTTTCTTTCTCCTTCACTCTTATATCAATCTTTCTACATGACGTATCTAATATGAAAATATATTTTTCACATAAAGTTAATCTTCAAGTTATTTGAAAAGAAATTGGTTTTCGTGATTTGGGAAAGAATGTGTTTGGGAAGAAGACGAAGATGAAAGGGGATTGGGTAGGGGTGGGGCTGGGGCTGGGGCTGGGTAGAATATGTTGACATTTTCATTTTTTCTTTTTCATTTTTTCTTAATAAAAAATTTAGATATAAAATGTGTTTGAAAAATTTTAAACAAAAAAATATATTTTTTCCATAAATTTGGGGGCCCAGTGCCACATGTTATTTTTTAATTGGTCATTTTGTCATGTCAGCGCAAGTGTATCACACACTCCTTATATCTATGTCTAATAGATTTTGAATAGGTAAAAGTGTTCAATAGGTACTAGTCTTAGTTAAAGTGTCTAAGTGAATTATGTGGACAATTTTAAGGGGTCGTCAATGACTTAACCCTTCAAGAAAATATTGATAATAGTAAGAACTATTTTTAATTAGGCTTAAGTCATCTGCGACCCCTTAAAGTTGTCCGCATAATTCACTTAGACACTTCAACTAAGACTAGTACCTATTGAACACTTTTATCTATTCAAAACTTGTTCCTATTAGACATTTTTCGATAATAAGTAAAAAAAATAAAGTGTGTGTAATGCACTTGATGTGATGTGGCAAAATGACTAATTAAAGGATAACATGTGGCGTAGGGTCCAACAATTATAGAAAAAAAGAAATTTATGTTAAAAAGAATGAAAATTATTTCAAATAAATTTTTCCATCTAATTTTTAAAATAAATAAATGAGAAGCCCAACCCTACCCAACCCCTTTTCTTCTTCATCTTCTTCCTAACAAGATTTTTTTTCTCAAACGACAAAATTCAATATCTTTGTTAATTGCTTTTATAATTATTTTTTATTCCTAATACATGAGAGAAAAAGATATTCAAAGAGACTGATCAAGAGTGATGAAGAAAGAGAGTCTTTCAATCGTCTTGAAATCGATAGCAAAGAGAAATCGAGTTGACCTAAATTATTTTTATTGAATCAATCTGATATTATTTTTGATAATTTTAATGAATTTACATTTTAATTTGAATGGTAATATTTGTTCGAAGTTGACCGAGATGGACGTCGATCGGCTAATTTTTTTCAGCCTGATGTTCACTCTTCTTTTTTCCTTTCAAATTCAATTAGTCGATTCAATCTTTTATTATTTTTAATAAATATTGAAAAGAGATAGAATAGAAAAAGAAAGAAAAAAACAACAGTGTGCAGGTCTTCTTTGGTGAAGAAGACGACTTAATAGGGGTGGGGTGGGGGCTTTTTTTCTTTTTGTTTTTGTTTTAAGAATTAGTATTACTTAAATTATTTTTTTAAAAAATAAATTATTTAAATGCCAAGTGGCAAAAAGTATTAAGTTTTTTTTGAAAAAATAAAAATAAAATAATATTTAAGGTTTCTTCACGCGCTCAGCTGAAGTGAAAAACACTTTTTTTGCCACATCAACATTTTGTGTTTAATAGATATACTTTTTGAACTATTTAGGTGTTCAATAGGTAATAGTCATAGTTGAGGTGTCTATGTGAAATATGTAGACAACTTTAAGGGGCTGCAGATGACTTAGGCCTTTTAATTAACTAGATGAGGGATGACCCTCTTTGTGGGCCCCCCCACAATTTTAAGTTAGAGTATTTTTTTCTATTTTAATTCTAATTGTTGGATTATGTGATTTAATTACTTATGGATTATCTATGAGTTGCTATAAAATCATAGAAAAACAGAGTGATGTCAAGTTAAATGTAGAAAACTTTGCATACTAACTGTTTCATTTAGAACTTACATGCATTTAAGAACGAAACTTCTATTTATTGAATGTTGTGTGGTTAACTAAATGATTATATTCTTTACATGCATCAATAAAATATCATTTATATATGGGAAAAATGACAAACATATCCCCAAACTATTGAAAATGGTATCTAAATACCCTTTGTTATACTTTTAGGACTCTTATGTCCTTGCCATCCAAAATTTGGAACGTATATACCCTTTTGATAGACGGTGAGACACGTGGCATCATCTCAATGACCCACCTAAAATTATTTAATTTTTAACCCAAAATTTAAAATACCCGTGACCCGGATAATTTAAACACCCGACCCAAATTATAACCCACGGATTGGCCTAAACGAAAAATTATAACGCACCAACTAGCCCAAATGAAAAAAAATAAAAATAAAAAGAAAAAAAGCAACAACAGTCATTGCTTCTTTCATCTATTAATCACTTCTTCTTCAGTGAAATCTTTTTCAATTTCATCTTCTTCAATGTAAACCACTACCTCTTCAATGCCTCTCTTCTTCTTAGCTTTTCACGACACATTTTCAATTGTATTTTAGCATTTTAGTGATGTTTTTCTTCCGATTATTGTTTTTGCATAAGCAATCATTCGTTTGAGTATCAAGTGGAAGTTTCAGTAGTGTGAAGTTCGAAGTTCGAGTATCCACTCATCGTCTAAATCGCTGCCTCTCCCAATCAGTTGAAAAGTGTGAGATACAAAATTTTAGCATTACTTGAAAAAAATCATTGAGTACCACGTCAAATTCCGTTTTCACCTCATCCACAACTGGAGCATCTGTTGTTGCTCTACCAGGGCGGCGACGACGGCAGCGGGACTACCTCCTCCGATGCTTTGACGACGGCAAAAGGACGAGCAAAAGTTGCTTAGTGCTGATGGAGTTTGGGAATGCGAATGAGGTGTTCTAGTGTTTTGGTGGGGAAGGAAATTGAAGCTTTTAATTAATTGGATCTTGAAAAATGAAGAACTTGACCAGAAGTTCTTTGAGAAATTCGAGAAATCTAGAGAAGATGGAGAAGTGTTTTGGGTTATAATTTGGGGCGGGTATTATCTAATTTGAGTGGGTTTTAAAATTATTTTGGGTGGGTCTTCAAAATTATGGGCCAAAATTTAATAAATTTCGGATAGGCATTTTAGATTGAGACACGTGTCCTGCCGTTAGTAGAAAGGGTATATACGTTCCAAATTTTGAAAAGCAAGGACATGAGAGTCCTAAAAGTATAACGGAAGGTATTTAGATATCATTTTTGATAGTTCAAGGGTATATTTGTCCTTTTTCCCTTTATATATTGTCATTGAAGAACACTTTCACCATGTTGATAGTAGTCCTCACAAAAATATTGACACATGTAGATATTGCAAGTGATGGTCAAATTTTAATACTCATTTACTGAGTTGTTTAATCTAACATGGCAATTAGAGCATTCGATACATCAGTTGCCACATATATATACCTACATCAAGAAGAAAATATAAAGGATAAACATTTTTATAAAAGTTGATCAAATGAATCATGCTAAGTATGGTGTACACAGTATCAAAGAAACCAAATAACCAACTATATGAAAAGCTTCCATTAAAGCTGAAATGTTTACAGATTTCTTTACTGACAACTCATAACGTTCTCGTTTCATTCAAATCTTTCAAGCAAAAAAGTTTCATCCCATCCGAGGGCAAAAACAAAAAATATATTTTATTTAATATCCCACAAATATGCTCTCTTCTAATCATCTCAACTCGGTATTATGGATAATAAAACATTAAACTTCAAAGACAAGTTATTTCTTTTGGTTTATTGTTGGAGTTTTTCCTTCTTTTATTTTAGAATCATCCGTCCATCATCTACAATTAAATATGTTTAAATTGAGGACTGCATCAAATCACTCATGACTTAATTAGTGTTATACTTATTGTGCCAATTTTTTTTTGAGACAAAGTAACAGTTTTATTCAATAAAAACTTAGTCACCCCATAAAAAGGTGTTAAGTTGGAAATTTTACAAGCATCGAAAAGGTACTTACACCCCTGCATGTCCAAAACCCTATACAATTATATATTGCCAACTTAATATACTAACTCTCCTACTTTCCCAGCATATTCTGTTTACACAAAAAAAATAAGCTAAGACAATTTATCCCAAGTTTTTTGAAAGAATTGCTAGTGCCTTCGAAATGTCTACCATTCATTTTCTTTCAAAAATTTGAACCATTTCTCGATTTGTGAATGTCATTCTTGCGCAAGGGCCATACTAATCCTCTCTGTATCGTTCCAATTTTATCAGATGTCCCCAAAGGGACTTATTCCAATATCAACTAACCTCAAGGTATATGATATAATTTTTAAGATTTGGGGATATGGATCCATGTATGGCTATAAGTGAGAGGATTCGCCTAAAAATAATTAAAATATCTAAAAATAGAGTTATTAAATTAAACCTAAATTATGAGATATTATGTGGAGAACTTGAGGAGAATTCTGGAAGGAAATTAAAGGAAAAGTAGTGACATATAAATTTCTATATAAAAAATATTTCATTTTCTTCAATTTCACTTTAGCTTTTGTATTGATTACATAAATCATTAAAAACTTTTCATACTTTTCCCATCGATTTTGATCAAAGTACCCAAAATTGGTTGATCAAATTAGACACGGACCTCACACCCACACCCACACACATATCATGTTGACACGGGTGCAACACCAAAAGTGAAGAGTTCGAACAACTTAGATCTAGGGTGTGTTTCAATTCTCTCATGTATGGTTGGGTTAAATGTTTTGGAAAATGTTTTCCAAATCACCTCATTTTTCTCAAATTTAAGGAAGACGACTTCCCTTCAAAACTTAAGGAAAACATTTTCCAAAACTCTCTTCTAACTTCAAATTACAATTATTTGTTTGTTGGAAAAATCAATTTATTTTGTCCCTACCCTCAAACCACCCCCCTCCCAACCACCCCCCAAAAAATAATAATTTTAAAGCTTGTTTTCAAATTCAATTTTTTACCCCACCCTCACCCCTACCCCACCCCCTACCACCACCCCCTACCAAAAAAATATTAAAAGTTATTTTTAAAAGATATTTCTAATTTCAATTTTTTATTTTTTTACCCCCCACCTCTACCCTCACCCCCCATCAGCCCCTATCTCCCCCACCCCTTCAAAAAGAAAAAAAATTAAGTCTGTTTTTAAAAATATTTTCAACTTCAAATTTTTATTTTTTCATCCCAATCCTCGACCACCCACCCTCTCCCCCCCCCAAAAAAAATTGAGTTTATTTTTAAAAAATATTTTCAACTTCAAAATTTTATTTTTTCACCCTTACACTCGATCCCTCCCCCCCACCCACCAACTCCCCTACCACCCCCACCCCCCCAAAAAAAAATTAAGTTTGTTTTAAAAAAATATTTTTTCAACTTCAAAAATTCTTTTTTTCAACTTCAAAAATTCTTTTTTTCACCCCTACCCTCGACCCCCCCACCCCCTACGCAGCCCCACCCACCCCACCCCTACAACCCCCCTCCACCCCCCCAAAAAAAAATTTAAGTTTGTTTTTAAAAAATATTTTCAACTACAAAAATTCATTTTTTTCACCCCTACTCTCGACTCCCCTTACCCACCCACCCCCTCCCCCACCCCCCGACCCCCCAAATTTTTTTTAAGTTTGTTTTTAAAAAATGCTTTCAACTTCAAAATTTCATTTTTTCACCCCTACCCTCGACCCCCCCACCCCCCAAAAAAAAATTTAAGTTTGTTTTAAAAAATATTTTCAACTTCAAAATTTCAATTTTTCACTCCCTCGACCCCCACCCCCACCTCCCAAAAAAAATTTAAGTTTGGTTTTAAAAAATATTTTCTACTCTAGTAAAAATAAAAGATATTTCTCAAAAACATTTTTCATTCATAAATCAAACACTAAAAATCTGTTCCGGAAAATATTTTCTAGTCACCAACCAAACATGAGAAAATAAGTAAAAAATCAACTTGTTTTCCAGGAAAACATTTTCCTTTATACCAAACACAGCCCTAATGTATAAATATTCAATGACGGGTAGAATCGGTAACTCAGGTACAAACATCAGTTTTGGAGATCCCGTCCTAACCTCCTTGTGCATCTTGACTCATGCCCACGCAACAACAACAACATACCTAGTATGGTCCCATAATGCGGTGTTCACTGTTCAGGAGAGTAGAGTATACATATACCTTGTCTCTAGAGAGACTGTTTCTGATAGATGCTCGGTTCAAAGGAACAATAGTCTAAAGTAGACACCCATGGTTGAACAAAAATTGAGCTCCAAAAAAGGCAAATCTGAAAGTTAAATGGAAAACAGATTTCTTGCATGAAATTTATCAACCATCTATGCAATAAATGGTTTTACCTCAAAAGTTTGTAATACCAGATTCTTGCCCAAAAACTTCTTACATGTTGTAAGAAGTGGGGTCAAGTTTTGAGTAACAACACCCAATTATATAACCACCACAACCAATGTACCTTTCTTTTTCATCTTTCAAGTACAGTAGATCAAATTAAACTGAGAAACTAATTATACGATTGGATAAAATAATTAAAAATAATTATCAACTTGCCAATTATCAAAGAAAGCCTACAGTGGTAAATAAACATCTAATTTGACAGACATAGAAATAATTTGGATGATGATTACATATAGTTTCATAATGTATCGTATTGTATTGTTTTGTGTTAAATTGTAGTACTATATTGTTTTAATCCGTACAATAATTGAATATATTGTATTGTTCTCCGTCGTTACATTTTATCACACTTTCATAATTTGAGTGATAAACCTACAAGAAAAGTAGGATACAAGATAGAGCTACTATGAAAAGGTGGGTAAAAATTGAAATATAATTATTAAATAATAAATAAAGACAAAATGAGAAGAAAATATTAAGATAACAACGCGACCAAACCAAATCGATTGTTACATAAAATAGGTCTTTTAATCGTTACCTAACAATGGATTTAAACGATACAATATAATAGAATTTGAGTAACAATCAAACAAACATTATATTTAAACTAATAATGCAATACAATACGACATGCAACAACCATCCAAACAAGGTATAAGAAGTAATTAATAATGAATTGAGTACCACTTCAAAACTCAGAAAAGTAAGCAAAATAATGAGAATAAGAATGTTTCAGCAGCAATTGTCACCTTGCCCACCCAAAATTGAAGCTTCAGAGTATGATAAGCATTTCTCACCACAATATAATATAGCACAAGAGAAAGAGAGAGGAAATGCTTGTATAATTCATCTGGGTTTATCAAATATAATAAACTATATTAAATAAATATAAATTTATTTATTTGTATAATAAATCTAAATACAAATTTATGAACTTATTTTTTTTATTCTTTTTTTCTCATTCATTATATTTATGCAATTATCTTCTTTTATCAAAGTTTTAAATTGAAATATGAAAAGTTATTTGTTAATGAACATTAACTTGGCATGACAACTTACTTTAGCACTTAAACTACACGGACATTTAAATACCCTTTTAATATTTTTGAAGTGAACTTTTTTCAACCCTCCGAACTCCAGCCTAGTTGAAGGTTGGATGTTGTTATGTACGCGCGTTTTCATTCATTCACGTCACTAATGATTTTAAAAAATAACTTAATTAATTATGTATAACCCACACGTTCCTAAAATAAAATTCGACCCATTTCTAAACAAATATCCTTAAATCTCAGATACCATCGTCATTCTAAAATTAAACCTAATCTCATTTTATTGTGAAGGGATCTTCAACGCATATTGTAAAGGGATTTTTTGAATTTGTGGTGTTTCAAAGTTCCCAGGTTAGTAATTTTCGTTTGGATGGTTGTAGCATTTGAGTTTAGGTTTTTGCCTAAAGATGAAGAAGAATAAGTTTGAATTTTACCTTTTCTCGAAAAACAATTATTCCTTCAAAGATACAACTTTTAGGTTTGAGAAGCTAAGATTTGAGATGAATCAAGAAAAAAAATAAGAAATTAGGTCACCATTTTTGGATAATTGAGATGGTGAAGGAGAAGAGGAAATTAGGGTTGTTCTTGAAGGTGAAAATTGCTCCTCAATTGGGTCGGATATTACCGTTAGAGGGACAAAATGGATTTAATATATATTTTTTTAAAAAATTAAAAGGTAAATTATATGATTAATGCGCCGGAGAAACCTGTTTCAACACGCGCGTTGGGCTGGAGTTCAGAGGGTTGGAAAAAATCCACTTCAAAGATATTAAGGGAGTATTTAAACGCCCGTGTAGTTTAAGTACTAAAGTAAGTTATCCTGCCAAGTTCGGAGAAGGGAGGGGTTATGTGTTTTCTCTTTTAATTAGATAGTCACACATGTTTGAATATTTACCTTATAATATCAGTTATGTTTCTTTTGGTATCATAGTATCACTAAACTATTCTTATTTTCCTCCAAAAAAAAAACTCCTCTCTCCTAATGGAATGTCATGCCACATTATTCTTTCTTTTCAACAATACAATAAAAGTTTTTAATATCTCTATAAACTATAAGCAACTTCTTTTAAGTATTCAATTGAAGTATTTACCCTATTCTTGAATTTTATAAAATGTAATCAAATTTTAAATTAAAATTAACTAATATTTATTATTTATTTGTCAATATTTTTAAAAATTAATTATCTTATTTAATTAAATACATTGAATTAATATTATTACTACACGACTTTTTTTGTCTTGATAATAGTCCGTTGAACTGTTATCAAGGCAAATCTTTATTTTAAATTATTGTACCTGGGACACAAATCAAATACTTCATTTGATTCAACTTATTTTTCAGTTTTTTAATACATCTAAAACTATCTCTTTTTTCTTTTTTAACAATTTTTAAATTTCATTTTTTCATGTAACATGTTTAAGGCACAAAATTAAAAGATATTTTAGTAAACTTAGGTTTGATTTATTTTTTTAAACTATGTGCCAAATTAAAATAAGACAAATGAATTAAAATAAAAAAAGTAATAAATAAATTATTATAAAATACAAATATGAACATAAAATTTAATTCATGATTAATCTATGCATTTCGTACTCGTGCAGTGCATGGATATTATAGAAGTTCATAAGGACAAATATATTGATTCGAATTCCAAATATATCTTTGTGTTTTATTTTGAATTCAAATTTTATGCTAATTCAAAAAAAATATCTTCTTATAAGTAACGGAAACTTAAGCAACCTAAACTGTGGGAATGGCTCCAGTGCCGGCCAACCCACTCAGAAAAGCGAGTACCTACAAACAATCTCTTAGGG